CCAGTAGTCATGGAAATGGCGTCATTTTCACTCAAAATCCGCCATGTTTTTGCGGACACTTCGTTGACTGAACGAAGTATAGGAGCAGGTCCTCCAGTAATATAGTATAGCTCAGTGGGCGAGGGCCTGCGGAATCTTGTAAAAAAAATGGCGCCGGCGTCACGTCAGCAAGTAAATTTCTACATAATCTTGAATATAAACAGATATAAAAAAGCGGTGTGAAACTTATAAATTAAACTGGCGACTCTTAGGACGTGGAAGGAAGCATTTTTTAACGATAAGGTTTGTTGTCCACACCAACGGTGCACGAATAAAACTGCCTTCTTTAACTAAGCAGGTACAAAACAACATTTATTCATTTTACAAGATTCCGCAGGCCCTCTCGAAATCGTGACCTTCCCATGACACAACGAGGGCCTGCGGAGGAGGCAGTCACTGGTCGCGTCCGCGTCGCAAATTCAGGCACGCGCTCAGATACACAGTTAGGAGGGTAAATGTGGTGTTTGTAGGATAATTTAGTGAACAAGCAGTAAACCAATATGGCGGCCGAAATGAACGGTGAAATTCAAGATTTTCAAGCAAAATTGAGAAAGAAAGGCTGGTAAGTTACATTTTAAGGTAATTATGTAAATTTACTGGACTCAGGACGCAAATTACATTTTATAGACTTCAATTATTTTAAATTACAAGTTTGGAAACTAATTTTTAATATATATAAAGACAATAAAGTTTATACATCAGTCATCAGTGCATCAAATCACATCACATCACATCACATGATAGATGCTTTTATATGAGTAAATGTACTCAAACTCGGCATGATAGATGCTTTTATATGAGTAAATGTACTCAAACTCGGCATGAACAGTGTTAAATAGATATACATGAAAAGGACGTAACAAAATAATCGCTAGTTTTAAACCTTAAGGCACTATTATTAACGGATGAACTGTTAATTGCCCATCAGTAGTCACTACATGAGTACACCTGGTCCTGGATATGTATTTAAACTTTAAATAGTTTTGCGACGTATTAAACAGCACAAGCTGGACAACTCAAGCATGCTAAAGCATTCAAAAAAGCATGCGTTCACTTACTGGCAAGCAAATGCATGTGCATTTTGGGTTGCAAAATCAAAAAAATGTTTACTGATCTGTAAAGTTGTTTTTCAACTCTTTCATGGTTTTTCTCCTCTTCTTGTTTTGCCCATGCAGGAACGTTCAAAATAACATATTTCCCATCTCCAACAGCCAAGTTACAAAACCGTGTTTGCATTTTCTGTAAATTCATTTTGAATTTATTTAACCCGACTGAAAATTTTTCAACCCAAATTCTGGTAATTTTACACTGAAAAATTGTTTTTATAAGTTGGCCAAAATGCAAAAAAGTTGAGAAAATTTATTTCTCAATTTTTTCCCCTACCATGTACGCCCATGTTTTTCATTATGTGCAAGGTCAACTAAGTTGCTTGAAAACTGAAACAATGGAATTTAAATTGAAATATATTATTACCAGAAAGAAAGTCAAAACAAAACATGTATACATTCCCATAATCGTATATCTTTGATTTTGGTAGCTTATGGAGATCTCTATTAGCTCAAATTTCTGCTTTGGAGACCTTTACTAGTTCATTCCTATTTTGCCAATAAGGCTGAAATACTCAATCATGTTTGATGAGAAATTGATGAGAAAACCTCACAGACAAAGCAAAAAGTATGAAATAATGAAAAAAAAATTCATACAGTGCAAAATATGCAGTATGTGCAAGCAGGTTTGTGTAAGTTGATACCTTACTTTGATCAGCAATACATCCATGGTTATTGTGGATTGGTATGTTTCATTTGGTGACAAGACTTCGTAAGGTCAGGGCCGTTCCGACCGACATGTCTTTGGGGGGAGGGGATGAGGACAAGACTTTGGGGGCCCCTTTATGTTTTGGCCGGGTTCCTGACTTTTCTTTGAAAAATTACAGTTGTGACTTAAAATTGATCATTTTTGAAAAACTCACTCCTGCATGTTTTTTCCTAAAACGAATATCCATATTAAAAGAAATATCAATAAATCGAGATAACATCAATATTTCAATATTGTTTCTACCCTTGAAAGTCACTAAATCTTAAACCTGATTTTTGCCAAACTACGTGCAGTATACAGAAAAACAATTAGTGGTTTCTATTTCCCAATTTATACATGTTATTAGTATTTGAGAAATTTCACAGCTGTTGACTTGTTGCTGCCGTAGCGAACGAGCGTGAAGCGAGCGAGGCAGCAGACTAATCTTTATGTATATGTATATATATATATATATAAGGCAGATGAAATCTCGATCGTTTCGGCGTATTTCAGCCTACCACAATGCACTGCTTCCGGGCCGGCAGGCTATTCTTGCCTAATAAACAGGCATTAGGCAAACAAGCAATGTGATCATCTTTCATCTTTGGTTTTCTTTTATGACCTTTTATGGAAAGCCATAGCTGGCGTAAGTGATCAAACGGCATTTTGTCGATACTTTGTGAGGTTGTCTTGTTTATATTTTTGCCTTCTTTGATAAACATTTATATTAACACTCGCACATGTTAAATGTCACCTGCATGTCATTGTCATTGCCCTTAACCCCTGGTTTTAAATCATATGATTATTGAAGCGGGGCCGTTTTGACCTAGCACTGTAGGCAAATTGTCTATACAATTTTATATACTAGATATCACAGTCATACCTGCCATTTTGATCTTTTCCTCGCGTTAGATAAGTTGATAAGTACACTCATTCTTGTACGTTAGCCATCGTACCTGTTCGGCTGTTCCTCTTTCGATACGAAACTTCGAGCGCCGAGTTATCGTACGGCACATTCAAGTGTATAAATTATGGATGATTCCATTTAATTACAAATATTTCTTACTCTTATTCTTTAAAATATTAAAGATTTGGGAACAATGCTATACCAAGGCAGCATTCACTACCCTGTGGGTAAACTAGTAACTTATAGGTGAAACATCTTCAGCTGAAGCATAAATACCTCCGGACGACTTGAAACTTCTCCAGTTTTCTATACACACACAGAATACTTCTACTGGGAACAAATTTCTGATAAACATCGAAAAATGTTATTTAAAAGCTGTTGTGCATTCTCAATACCGGTATACTGAATGCATTATTCATAAGGCGTTAGCCTGAATAGCATCGCCATGAAAATTTAAGATACAGTAATAAGAAATTACCAGACGTTAAAGAAAGTATCAAAAGGAATATACGAAGACGAAGTTATAAAGACTAAAGAATTGTCAGCAATTGAAGAGTTAATTGTGCTCAGTAAAAAGAGATAATTTGGAGCGAGTATTAATGCATACCCTGTATACTTAGGTCATAAAGTTATAGAGACGCTAATTGTTGAGTAAAATATACGTAAGAAAATGAATGTAGAATTGAAAGTAACTGGTTTCACAATCTTTTGTTGCGAACCAATAGAACCAGAGCGGCCAAATATAGTAGGGACCAGCTCGTAACAACAGTCGATATACAGACTATTTACCTTAAGCCCATTAACCATACTAACAACGGACCATACTAGTAATAATAAAAATATAATGTAAAGTATAATCTGTGAGAAAAAAGTAGAATGATTGTGTTACCATGACTACTACGTAACGCAAGCCAGTGTTCCATCAGTGGTTGGTTGAAACAATGTCTGAGAAATATAGTTCTTTTGGCCATAACTATACAGAAAATGTGTATTTCAATTAATCATGAAATAGCACGACGGATTAGGGCGCAATGCAACTTATACTGGGTTACAGTAATTTAATAAAGAGAGCGACGGTGCATGTATGGTATATATTTCATATGAACGATATACTGTATAAGACACCAAGTCAAACCTTCATCAATGTATTCTATGTTAACATATTCTAATCTAGTAATCACGATTTTAAATACCAAATGACAAACAAAACCTGCAGATTTTTTACAATGAGAGGCATTTTGGCTCTGTTGACATTGAAAGGCCGATCTCAAGAGATAAAAGAGATATTAATAAAAAATCGGTGGGCTTTATCATATGTCACCGATACCTTTAATTGGTGTAATTTTGGTTAGATTGTCGAATTCGTGTTCTTAAAACGGCCTATATATTAAAGTATTCGTTCATCAATGAACTGCATTTAGAATAACACTATTAACTACATTCAGAATCCGTTTTATTTTTAAAAACAAATCTTTATTTATTTATTAGGAAATGCATGTCCGCCGCATGCAACGTTTTGCTCCTGAAAGCATGCATGCAGTCGAATTGAAGGAATCTTGAATTGGTTGAATTGTCTGAAATTGGTTGGTTGCTAATCGATGTGACATATTCCAAATTTGATATTTCAACTATGGCCACAAAGAAAAAAAATTGGACATGCACTGTCAAATCTGAAGGGGAGGGGCACGGCTTATCTCCGCGTTTACTCATCCGATCACTAGCTAGCTCTCCCAGGGAATAAACTGGCGATGCCCAGCGTAATGGTATCAAATTATTGCAATAGGCCGTTTTTACTAATTGACGACTCTTTTGAAAATGCCTAGACGCAAGTTTAAACGCTGATATCTCAGCGTCTATCGCATGTATGACCTACCTGTATATCAAAATTTAAGTTAGCCCCTTTTGGGTACGGTAAAAGTTATTTGAGCGATATAGCCGTTTTACTTTTGCCGCTATATCAAATCAAACAGGGGAACTTTTTTCTGCGCCACCTGGCAGTCAAATGTTTCTGCTAAGGTAACAATTTGTGTAGTTCTAGATTATTTACTATAATGTTAGACAGTAGATGTGAGTATCTTAATATACGGTATGTAAAGGAAATAATGCATTTCCGCTTTGCAGGAATATTAGCACAGAAGGAATAGAAGAATGTATGCAAGAACTGGGACAGCGCGATAGGACAGTTGAAAATGCTACTAAATGGGCTCTTAATGTAAGCATAATCATTTGCATTATTTTATTAAATTATCATTAAATTACATTTAACCACATCTACAGTATGCATACTCTGCATGTATATATTATATTTTTATTGATTATAATTTTTTTAAACTTACACAAAAGTACATTGATTATAACTTAATAGTATGTGTTTTCATTATAGTGTGATTTGAAAGAGATTGGGTTTAAAGTACTCACAGAAGAGGTGAAACGTGGTCAAGTAAAAATGGTATGAGCGTTTTATTGGTTTTCGCATCGCATGATATGAAAAATTATCAAGACCTCAGTTTGTGTTATCAACCTCAGCCTTCGGGTTTTGTCGATACTTCGACTTGATAATTCTTTACAGTATATCATACTCAACTCATTCAGTAATTATTGAATATAACTAAGAAAATGGTAAATGTTTTTGGTACTGTTGTACAATTAGGATTTTTAGGTTTTGAACACGAGAAATTCCATCATTGACTGATTCCTTTGTTGTACTGTTATATATTCCCGTGATAGCTTCAGTGTTGTATCACTTTCACCTTCAGGTTGAAGGACCACTTGTCCTACAGATTCAAAAGATTCGCAACATTTCCGCCCCCAAAGCGAACGAGGAGTCTGGAGCTGCCCCGCGTTTGCTAAAACTACAACTTACTGATGGCCACACAACATGTTTTGCTCTGGAACACTCACTTATACAAAAACTTAGGTATTATGTATTTCTGTTTTTATATCCTTTTTCACTTTTGTGAATAAACATTCGGGTTTGAAGAATTACTAAAATTAAATCCTGGAGTGTAACACACAATTAAGAATGTCATATTTGATATTGTCAGTCTTTCGCACGCAGTTTTTATCTTTTATAATTATAAATAAACATGTGCAGGTATGTAATTCTAATTGCAACAAATATAATTTTAGTTTGTCAACACCACCTGGGACTAAGATTCGTCTCAAAGGCACTGTTCCATTATTCTGTGGTTTTATGTTGTTGGAACCCCGGCATGTGGAAGTTCTTGGCGGTAAAGTAGAGAAACTTATTTTGAAATGGGAGACACACAAGGTTAGTGTGATATATATTTCTAAATGTCGAATTATAATTGTTAATTAATTTATCTTTTATTACCACTTTTATTAAGTTATATTCCTACTCTTTTTCCATTTGCAATTTTATATTACAGGTAGACTACGCGAAGCGTTCCTCTTTTGAGTTCATAAGTCATTTGGAATTTCCCTAATTACCTTTGCATATTTGAAAAACCTCTTTGCAAATCCTTTGAGGGAATTTGCAATGTTCCTAAGCTAATTAAATGTTCCTGCACTTCCTGTTCAAATTTACTAACTTTCTGTTCTGTTCATCGCATTCTGTCTGATTGTGATTGGTCTACAAAAATAATCTACGATCACAATGCGAAGAAGTTAGGACGTTTGAACAAGGAAGTGAGGAACATTATAATTAGCTTAGGAACATTGCAAATTCCCTCCAAGGATTTGATAAAAGGTTTTTCAGATATGCAAAGGTTAGAGTTATGAACTCAAGAGAAGAACGCTCACGTAGTTCACCTGTACTTGCAAGCTAGTTTTGCGTTTTACGCATCGGATGGCGTTGATTTACTGTAAAAGGAGTAAATTAAACCAAAGGATAAAAATATATAGATTTGCATGTTCTGCATTACGTTGACCAATGTGCTTTGCATAAAATGGAATGCTAACTCCAATAATGAAGCTTATACTTGGTTGAAGCCAATGCTATGTCATACCACATGCAGAGGTAGCAATTGATATGTATACTGTACATGGTCCATACTACAGTATTCATTAACCAATAACGAACTGGTGAAAATAGTACAGTATTTTTGTTCTTTCTTGAAGAGTGTGAGTCAGCAGCGAGCTTTACCCAGTAACCCGAGTGATGATGGTCCTCCATTGTTCATTGCTTTTGATCCTAAAACGAGCAATAGTCATGTAAAGAGAATTTCTATCTCGAAAGGTGAGTTCCATACAGTGTACATATACAGTACTATATATTTAATTTTTTGTGATTGATGAAATTGATTGGTTTTTGTAATCCCCAAGTGAAACGTTCTAGTTTGAATTCACATGCATCCTACTGTAGTACAGTATTCCAAATTTATTAATATCCAAAACTATTCAGAAGTATTTTTATATAATAATACAGGTACATTACTGTAAAAACGAAATGCTGGTGACAGAACTGTCTATTAACAGAACTGTCGAATTAATTATCAGTCGGTTAATATAGCTGAATATGGCAGGTTCAAATTCGGCCTGAGTTAGATTTATATGGATCTTGACAATACAGTGTTGGGTTTTAACAGTAAATGCATATGTTTGTTATAATTTACTAGTTTTAACTCTGCAAAATAACATGCAAGAACAACGATTCTAAGAGTTGAGGATTTTACTAGATTCTTTGAAAATGATTTCACTTTTAACACAGCCGTTAATCAAAACACTCAGGATTCAGTGTCCAGTCAAGAAAGTAGCTCCAGCCAAAAAGATGAAAACAAGAAAGCACACGCGGCGTTTGAACACAGTCGAGATCAACGTATCCAGACAGCTAAACAAGGTAATGAAAGACAGTCTAATCCTACCAAAACTGGAAACAATGCAAACAGAAGTCTTCAAGTCGCTGGAAATCAGGTATTTTCTATATTATGCTATATATACCTTATTGCTTTACGTGTAATAACGTGCAAGTTTTGGGGAAAAGCATAGACGTCATAACTACAGTTGGATAAAATTACTGTTGTGAGTCTTGTGACACATTACCGATGTTTAAAAATTATTGGTGGACACATTACTGGTGTGTAATGGTATATTAAGCTAATTTTTTAGCTTCGCTTATTTTTAATTGAACCAAAGGAAGTTTAACACATGTCCCTAAATTTAGGCACTAACGCCTGCCCTGATTGATTGTGTAACTACTGTATACTGTAGATGTAATTTGTGAATTCAAGAAGATGTCTGGATGTTCTAAAAAACTAAGATATTTACCGAGCAAGGGTGCTGGTATAGTTATTCTCAATCGCGTTGTTTCGAATCGGGCATTATTTATGTTGCCGTTTATTTGTAAATACTGCATGTGTAAATTTACATGACTCTGTAAGTCAGCCTATATGCGTGCATAATTAATGCACTTACGTTAATTTAATTTGCTAAGTCTTCCATATTTACAGAGAAGACGAGCAGATTCTTCAAGCGACAGAGACCAGAGACGAGTTGAAAAGGATCTAGACGTAAAGCCGACTGGTCCAAAACAAGAAGCATTTGGACACAATCAAAGTAACAAATATGTTCGAGACGCACAGTTTTCAGACAAAAATGATGGACAGGTATAGTGTTTATAATTATACTGGGGAAAATGTTTTTAAACATTGGGGCCAACTGAAATATTCAATATTTTGATATCACAATAAAAATCAATTAGAGCATGTTACAGATATTCGGTGGAGTCCAAATGGAATAGGATTACTTTGGTCCTGAAAAATTAGTGTCTGGATGTCGTAACCGGAAATCTACTGTACTTAAAGGTCTCCGGTACAACGTACCATGCAGCGCCCGGGCAACTAGTAAGATGCACATTTGTTACAGACGAGTATAGTTGATACATATTATATTCCCCAGTCTTTCATTAGGGTGTCCCAGTAGCCCTGCGTGTATTACAGTAGAAACGACATTCTCGGTTTCAGATCCATTTTAGGTGAAAAGCTTCTTAACAATATTATGAATTTTCTATGCATTTTATTATTAGCAGAAATATGCGGAAAAGAATAATCATGGAAGAAGATCAGGCTTTCGTAAAGGTGTGATCTACAGTGTAATGTTTTATTCAATTCTAGTAATGCTAATTTAACAGTATTTAGCACTTCTGCAACTTCCGAAAACCCTATATTCACCAACACGCTTCTTGTGTTCTGCATATTCGGGCATTTTAGATTCTTTTGCTCGTGCAGTTAGTCAACTGTTGGTGCTTTTATTTTCTTTAAAATATCTTATCCTATCCTATCGAAGAAGTGACATCGATCCACTGCTCTCTTCTGCAGGTGGAAGGCACAATGACGATTCCAATGATGATTATTCGACGTCAAGGCCGTCAGAGGGAACTCTCTGGGATTTCCTTGAAACTAAGCTTCCTTCAAAAGGTATACTACAAATGATATACTGTATACTTATCATTTATAGACCCGAAAGGGGTTCATCTTGAGAGGGATATCATCAATGAGGATAATATTTCGCCGAATCCCACGAGCAGGGGGTCTATAAATCATATACTGTAGTATACTCAAAGTTAAAGAACCCACTAAGTAGAGAATAAACTTGCTGAATAGAAGTTATAGAACTACTGTATTTTTTTTATACCTGAGTTTTTATGTTTTCCCTTTGACATATTTAAGTTACATAACATATCTCCTAATATTTAAATCTTTATTCAAAGTATGATATAATTGTAAAACAGTAAAACTTACTATTGTATGTGCATTGATACCTTTGATTGTAAAGTGCATTTATTGTGTTATTTTATTCTTTGTAATGCTCATTCCGATTTAGCTCATTAGGGAGCTATTCAATGTGTGAATAATTTATTAAACATAATATCGCACGCCAGATCTGCCGGGGGATATTATAATATCTCACCTTGCGGCCATAATCATAGAATTGGGTGAAATATCGTAAAAAATCACAATGTCACGTGGTACGAATGCTGTTTTTTTATTGGGCAGTTTAAGGGAGGTTTAAGGAGTTGGAATTCGTCAAAATATTGGATGGCAAAGTATGCGCAATGCAGCGAAAAATCACAGCTCTTAAGAAATCTTATTTTTTTATAAGAATATGAAAAAGATGCCTTCTTTTCTTGACGTTTCAAGCGCACTCTGTCAATCGCCCATCTAACTTGTAGTACTATATATAACAATATACGAGTTAGCGTGGATTCTGGTGCGTCACCCTGGGATTATGTAGCGACCTTTATTCTCATTTTCTGTTAATATATTACAGGTTACGAAACAGAAAATGCCAAACCAAAGAATTCTTCTGTTGATTATTTCGAATGGGGTGAAAGCAACGAGAGTCGACAACCCAGTAGCCAACGCGATGGTCAGTACAGAAACCAGCGCGCAAATCAACAGCAACATGACAGACCAACGCTTTCAACTGGTGGTAACTTGCAAAGGGTTGGATACCAAGGCATTCGTGATGATCATCGCAAAAATCAGAATGTAGATCATCAACCCTATCAGCAGGGAGATCAAGGGAGGAATAATAGAGAGGTAGATAATTACAGAGACAAAGAAAGTGACCGAAGTCGATACCAACCCAGGGGTCAACAGAAGCACGAGCATCAGACAAAAGACCAGCATGTCCACCAGCATAAAAAAACACGCGAAAGACCTAATCAAATTCAGTACAGTAAAGAGAAGGAGCAAGGTCCGGAGAAAAAGGATGATAAACATAATGACAGAAGAAACGATCGACCATCGAGAACAGAACGTGTTGATAAACAAAGCAAGCAACCAGAGATTAGACATGGCAATCAAAGTGGAAAAAATGATAAAGTTAGCGGTCAACAAAACAATCAAATGGGTGACAGTTATAGAAAGGATTATCCAAAATATGATAAGGCAGACCATAAGAAGTCAGAAGGTGGTGACAGCACACTAAAAAGTACTCGTGTGGAGGATAGAACACCAAACTATAGAAGTAAAGGCCATAAAGGCGAAAAGCAAGGTGGTGTATTAACGGATCAAAGTAACCGTGGGAGTAAAGTTGAGCAAAATGTGCGTATTAACAGAGGAGGAGCAGGACCGGACGGCAAAAGATCGCAGCAGTCGCGGGAGAAACAGGGCGAACACGATGGAAGAACTCCCCGAGGGGATGTGCAGCAATATAGGGAAAGTAGAGATGTGTCGAACAAAAAACATGAGAACGCGAATAAAGGGGCTTACAATGTTTCTACTAAAACCAAACGCGAACATATGAATCAAACGCATCAGAGTAATATAAGTGTTCCAATAGTGGAAGAGACGCAGAAGAGAGACTCGCAAATAAAGAGTACCCCAGTTCCTGTAGGACAGAGTGATAGTCAAAAACATCGCGATCAGAATGAAAGATATGGGGATGGTGTGCCTGGTGGTCGCGGTTACGAATCTCGGAAGCAGGTAAAGTATAAGAAATTGAGAAAATAATTTTTTATACAAATGTATAATTGCTTAAATGCCGTTTACCGTGTGTTAACTAAGACGTTCTTGTATATAGAGGACTGCTTGGTCATTTATAAAGAGCGGAGAAACAACGTCGCAAATAATAGTTAATAATTGTATGTGCAACCCTTCCGTATATCGTCATCTGTTGTGGTGCAAATAAAATATCGAATTTTGTAAACATAATTATTCTAGTCGGCGCATTCCAGAAAATAATGAAAACTTTTAAATTAGGTGTTTTGTATCAAGCTAGCATTTGCTTTAATGTACTGTAATGTAATGCAAGAAAAGCCTGCGCAGGTTTTATTTAACAGATATAAAACATTTTGCGTGTTGATATACAGTTATATCAACACGAGTGGAAATTGGGAAAACGAGAAATTGTGTGGAAACACGACGTCCGGAGGGCTGAGTGTTTTCACACAATTTCGAGTTTTCCCAAAAAAATGTTTTATATTCTTTTTATAATATGGCACGAAGAAATATAAAGAAAGAAATGTTCCGTGTTGACATTGAGTTATATCAACACGGCTCTTAGCCAATCAGCGTTCACAATTTACAAATGCTATATTTATAATGTGTTGTCTTATATATAGCATTGGTGGCAAGAAGGAGAAGACTGTATGGCTTTTCGCGCCCAACAGGGACAGGTATATTAAGTTTAATTTGTTATTATTATTATCTACATTTTACTCGGTTTTGCACCGGTTGCGCCTGGCATCATGCTACTCCCGCAGCATTTTGATGGCAGGTTACGAGTCCAGGACCTTCCTCAGGATCCTTGCTGTTCCAAGCAGTCCGATCTTTTGACGATCCCCTGCGTTACTGCCTATTTTCAGCTTGTCCAAGTTATTTTGTACATTGTTGGTCATCGTTCCCAAGGCGCCTATGATGACTGGCAGTATAAATACCTTGGTCACTTCCCCTTTCCATACCTTTGGTAACTCATATTTAAGGTCTGTGTATTTTTCTATCTTTGTTCTTTCCCTCTCCTTTACTCTTGTATCAAATGGGCAGCCTACGTCCGCTATATGGGTGGTCTTCTCCTTCTTGTTCAATATGACTAGATCTGGTTTGTTGTAATCTAGCTTCTTTTCAGTCTGGATGGTGAAATCCCATAGAATTTTTACTTCATCGTTCTCCAATACTCTTCTCCAATACTCTGCTTTCTTTTATTATTATTATTATTATTATTATTAATATTAATATTATTAATATTAATATTATTAATATTATTATTATTGTTATAAAAGTTGTTTCCAAAGTCCAACTCCAAACGTACTACGAGTAGATCTGCGTACTTACTCGTGCTCCAGGGGAGCTCGAGTCTAGATTTCATCGTGTTGAAATTTGGGGGGTCGCGTTTTGGCCTTCGTTGACCCAGTAATGCATTGTGCACTTGTAATCGTGATTTCGCAATATGGCCACTGCGAGGAGTGGCGAAATATAATTATCAATATTATAAATGTGGTCCGGCAATACAAGCCATCATTTTAAACAATGCGCACGATGCAAAATATATATGCACAGAAGACATTACCACACTGCAACATTGCTTGGTGCTGTGTAATATTAAATTCTTATGCTCGTGAAAGCAAAATATATATCATCAATGTTTTAGACGTACACATGATGATGTTTATAAACGAATAAAACGATGTTATAAATACCTGAATGTGTCAAGTGATAACAACGTCGAACAATACAAATCAATACTACTATACAACCTGTTTTTTGAAAGCTTTCGTCGAAATTTAAAACACTAGCTGCAGTCTGTAAATCGTACAACCCGAAATTGAAAGTATTTTCTATAGTAATACTATTTACTGTTTGGTTACGAATGTCTGGCTTCGTAGACTTCATTTGAACGATTAAATTTTTTAGGATATATCACTGATACAGTGATACTGAACTATATGATATAAATATAGTAATAATAATAATATTTTTTCCATACAGGATACATAAAGCAAACTAACACTGCCATCATATGATTTATAAATATGCGCTATACGGCATTTGTGATAATGATTAATGTAAATGTATTATTTTTCGAGTATTCAGCGTTAACGTTACTTGCGTGATAAATTTTTGCCGTACTTTTAAGTTTAACTTTTATATAATGATATCTAACATGCGTTCTGCTCAATATTCGATTTTGTGTTGTAAATTTACGTTAAAATGTCTTTTGTTTACTTCTGCTAGTACCTCTGTGCTAGTACCTATGTAGTCATGACTACATCTCATGAAATTGAC